GCAACCGACGGTGATAGAAACCAGCCCAGGGGTTTACTCGTCTGACCCTCGAGTGATGCTGGCCCACGAAGCCGATGTGTTAGGGGGTTTTGGAACGCTTCTAGCATTCCCCCACCCGTGGACGTTCCCGACAGGCATTATTTTGAACGAGCTACGGCGGCCGAATTGAGAGCCGCCTCCAAGATGTTCTCGACGCACACAGCTCAATCCCTGGATGGGGTGCACGTGCGTCAGTTCGCTTGCATGTCGGACGAGGGGCTGGAGTGCCTCGCTTGCGTTTTTCAAAGCGTCGAGAAGCTGGGGCTCTTCCCCAGGGCCCTGTATTGGATGCGCTTCCCCCTTTTAGAGAAACCTAAAGGGGGGTTGCGCCCGATTTTGCTGTGTTCGTCCCCAGTAAGGCTTCGGGGGCGCGCGCGCCGCCCCAGACTGACGTCTTTTAACGACCGCCACCCCGGGCGTCACTGGGCCTTCGGAGCGGGGAAGTCGGCGGAAGGCAGTGCGTGGAACCAGGCGGTCAAAGCGGAGGCCCGAGTGGCCGGAGGCGGGGCCGCTGCGGGTTTTTTCATGGGATGGGTCGAAGGTGTACGAAAGCTTCGACCTCAAGGTCCTTAGGGGCCGTGCGCGCCGTGCTGGGTTCGACGCCGCGATCTTCAAAGTGGCGCATAACTTCTGGAGAGGCCCTAGGACCCCCTGCTTAGGCGCGGACCATGCGCTGGCGGCGTTGCGCGCCGAGAGCGGGCTGCCAGCAGGGTCGATGTTTAACGACATCTTCGTGCAAGTGTATGCGCTCGAGCCTTTCGACGGGTATGTGGCGCGCAACCCCGACATCGATCTGGCGTCGCATGTGGGCGACGACGCGGTGTTGTCGCACGGCCTCGAGGCCGAAGTCATCCAGCGCCTGGCTGATGCAGCGCAGGACCTGCACCAAGTGTTCACGCAGGAGCTCGGGGTCAAGCTTGCTCAAGATAAGTTGATGACCTTTGGACCCCCCCCCCCAGCGTCGCTCGTGACCTCGGACGGCGGCTCGGAAAGCTGGCGGGGGGCGCGGGGGCCCACATGGTGACCTTAGGATGCGATCTGGCCCCAGGGGGCGAGAGGAGCAAGGAGGGGCACCTTAGTAAGAGAAGGGGACGTTTTAAGAACGTGACTCGTAGACACCGTATCCTGCGTAAGTATCGTAAGTCTTTGCCTAGAGAACGTTTCAGAATAGGCAAGATTCACGCTGCGGGGGTCAAACCAGGACTGACCTTTGGAGACGCGGTCGTCGGCATGAGCGATGCCGAACTTAAGCGTGCGCGAAGTGTGATGTGCTCGTGGCAGGCCCCGAGGCATGCTGGCATCTCCCTGAGGGCCCCCCTCTGGCGGAGCATGATTGCGCTTGCTCTGGCGTGGTCTCATGCGTTCTGGGCTGCGGTCACGCGGCCTGATCATGCCTTTTTCTCCGTGCAGGAGCTGTGCGGCATGTGGCGGGCCGTCCCGCAAACCGGCCACACTTGGGCTAAGAGTAAAGGGCCCATCAGCCGAATGCGCTTGTCTTTGGAGCGTATCGGGTGGGAAGCGTACACCCCGTTAGACTGGCGCGATGATAATGGCGTGGGGATTTCCCTGGTGTACACCACCCCGTGATGGTGGGGCATTGGCTTAGCCTGGGGGTTCAGAGGCGCCACGAACGGGTGTTGGGCAAAAAGCTCGGTTGGACCCATGGTACCCGTGTTTGCGTGGAACCCATTAGGAGAATCACTGAGGCTGGGGTCAAAGGGATCGGTCTCAATACCCAGGGTAGGTACTTGGTGATGGCGTGATTCTGCAATGGTCTCTGGACTGAGGACAGGGCCCAACGGTCGGGGTACATCACCCCAGGCCTTTGCCCCCTTTGCCAGGCGCCTGACTCGGTAGGACACCGCCTCTTCTGCTGCCAGCACCCCGATGTGGCGGATGCGAGGCAGGCAGCGGACGTTTCCGCCAGCTTCCTCGAGCGCGCCCAGAAACGGGGGCGCGCAGTTTTTCGAGGCCCTCACGTTCCAGCACCCCGCGGCCGGTTGGCCAGCTCTATCGGAGGTACATGAGCCAGAGTTGTTCGACATGAGTGGTCAAAAGATTCCGTGGGGGGGATGCCGACGGGTCTAGATTCTATCAGGCGGGGGGCGGCTCGTGTGCCAGACACAACATCCGTGAGCTCTCCCGTGCAGCGTATTCGTGGGTGTTCTTTGATGATGAAGGCGTGCAACAGTATGTAGCAAGGAGAGTTGTGTGGCCCAGCTTACCGCAAACAAGTCAAGCGGCAGAACAGTCACAACTGGCGCTACTCCCTGTATCTGTTCCCCAGCATGGGCCGACTCTGTATAGCGGCTGCATGAATGCGGTCAAGTTGCACAATACGGACCCATCCAGCCAGGTGTCAGCCAAGCAACGATAGGGGGGTTTGAGAAGAGGGACTTTGCTTCACACGCAGAGAAACGAGTATGCCCCAGCTGTGCACACACCAGCCCATTGGAAGTTAGAAGATATTGAGCAGCTGCCCCTGCCTGAAGGGTGGATCGGGCAGGCCAGCTGGCGAGCGGATCGCGAGGCCAAAGGAGCTCTCGACCTGCATCCCAGGCCGTCGCCCGCCGAATGGCAGCAGCTGGATAGCTCGATAGAGGGCCGACGGCGGCGCGCATCGTGGCGAAGGTTTTGCCTTGTTTCCCGAGGGCGCACCACCGGCGCCCACCGAGGCGCGAGCGCCAGCGCAAGGTCTTGGCGCAAGCCTCGAGCTGGCACGACTGGGAGCCGTGGCTGCGGGGCCGCAGGTGCTCCAAGTGTTTAAGTTTCTTCGGGGGGGACCTCCAGAGCAGGCCTGAAGTGGGCGGTAAAGGGCTCTCTCGCAGTCTTCAGAGGTTGTTGTTAGAGGCCCCTGATCACGGCCACAAGCTAGCCAGCGCTCAGGTTGGCGATGAAAAGTTGCCCCTCGTCTTTTGCATGAGATGCGGAAGCTGCTCCCAAGAGAAGGTGCGCAACTTGTCTGTCAGATGCGGTCCGAAGGAACATAGCGGTGGGGCCAACGTGCTGAGCAGGCCCAAGAGGGGCTTGCACCCCCAGCGTAACGTTCCAGTGTCATGCGCGGCCCCAGAGCGACCAGCTTCAGGGCCGCAGATTCGCGCTTTCTCAACCGCTTCGCGGGTGCAAGTCATCCCCTCTAGCTCGACTTATTTAGAGCGCTTGGCCCCGCTGAGGGCTAGGATCGCTGCTAAGGAGTCTGGTGGGCGGGTGGGCGCGGGGACTACGGGGCGGGAAGGCACTGATGATGCTCCAGACGTGCAGTTTCCCGCGCCTGGAGCGGACTGTTCTGATGACTTGTTCGACGCTGAAGAAGCAGCCGCCAGTGACTTGTTCGAGGTCAGGGACCCTGTTGCAATGCCGATGGCGTCCTCGCCTGTGACCTCGTCGGCCGTGTCTGTCCCCCGTGACGTTTGGCGGACTGTGTCCAACTTGCTTCGCAGCGAGGAGGATGAGGCGCCTCGGGTTCGTGCCGTCACGGACCAGAGTCGGGGTCATACTAATGCATGATGGACACATGCATGACCAAGGGTGCCTCTCCTGCCGTCAGGAGTTGGCACTTGTGGTTGCGTGCTTGTCTTTCCTCTGCAATAGTTCAGAGTGGCTGCCATGGCAGCCGCTACGTAAATTGGTTCGGTCAAAGGGGACCAAACAACAATATTCGATGTGCCATCTCTGTGCCAATCCAGACTCGTGACGCGCATTTCTTGAGATATTCGGCCCGTCCGCTCTTGCGTCGAAGGAACCATGCTACCAGCAAATTCTGAAACGTGTGCCAGCAGAGTTTGCAATTCTGGTCTTCGAATAGTCCTGGCCTTCCTGGCGGGCAAATGAAAGGCCTTTGGGCTCAACGCCTGGCGGCCTCCTCCTCCTGCTCCTCCTCCTCTCCGGCACACAACGCGGAGGAGGAGGAGGACGGAGGGGAAGGAGTCAGGAGGGGAAGGAAGAGGGGGAGGGACGAGTTAAGGGGGGTGCATCATTAAAGACCCTCTGCGGTTACGGCAGGTTCGCGTCGTGTCGACCAGCGGCGACCCCAGCGCGGGCGTGTAAGGTTGAACGCCGCCTGTGGCCCAGAACCGGCCCATCCTGGACCGATCCGGCCTTTTTGACATGGCCGATCGTTCAAGTTTGAATGATCCCCGCGGTGTCAGGAACCCACGCCGGGGTCGACACGACGCGAACCTGCCGTAGTTGGTGCCTGTTGGGGCTTCCTTGGGGGCTTCTTGGGTGCATCGTGGGCCAACGTTGGGCCAGCTTGCCAGGCCGTCCTGTCAGCCAAGGGGAGGCTGGGAGAGCCCCACGGGGGCGTCAGGAGAGGGGGGTGGGACCCTCGCTAGACCTAGGTCGGGCATGTCCCCCTACAGGCGGATGTTGGGCGAACAATAAGAAATAACAGACACGTGCAAACATATGATCGAAAATAGTAGTAGAATCGTCCCCAGACTTTTTTTAATTTTTGTTTTTTGAATATTCCCCTGCAGATGGACACGCCCGACTTAACGCTAGACCTCGAAGAAGAAAAAACGCCTTGAACATAAACTTTTGGCGCTCTGCGCGGACTTCTTGGATCCGCGCTTGGCCCCCCCCTTGCGGCGCCTCTGGCGCCGCCCCTTGTGCGCTCCGCGCGCCAGGGAGGGGGGTCCAGCGCGGATCCAAGAAATCCGCGCGGAGCGCCAAACGTTCACATTTATGGCGTTAGCCCTACAGTCAACGCGCCTAGTAAGATCTAGGGTAGCCTCGTGTCCTTGCCTTTGCGGTCCGTCCTTTGGCGTTTTCACTGGTCGCCCTCGGCCCAAAAGATCCCAACCTCGTCCTCCCGGGGTCTTGCGTCCTTACCATTCGCCCTTGGTATACGTTTCGTCTGTACCTGGTAGCATTTGGCATTCTGCCACGCCTCGGCGTGCCAGAGAGCACGGCGGCGGACGACTGTGCGACACCGGGGCGGAGGGCGCTCGCGCGGCGAGGCCACGAACGGGTCCTCCGACAAGGAGCGCGAGGTGCACCAGGGCTCTGCGGCCGCCGACGCTCCGGCCCTGAGCACGGCGGCGGCCTCACTGGCCGCGCTGGTGGGGGGGGGGGAGCGGGCAGGGGCGCCCAGTACTTCGCTACCAAGTTTGAGCCAACTCCTCCTTCTCCTCCTCCTCCTCCTCCTCCTCCTCCTCCTCCTCCTCCTCCATCTCCTCCTCCTCCATCTCCTCCTCCTCCTCCTCCTCCTCCTCCTCCTCCTCCTCCTCCTCCTCCTCCTCCCCTGGCCAGGGCCACTCCTGAGCCCTGTAGTGGCGTGCGGGCCTTTCTGGCCGAGGCCAGGAGGCCGTGCACACCATCCCCGGGGCCAAGGATGGCCCCGTTGTCGAAGGGACACGTGAGCATAGCAGGGGGCTCCATGTTCGTCGGTATCGTTTAACCGATCCCCATCCCCATCCCCATCCCCTTCGAGACCCCCACTCAATTACCCCCACAGTTGGGGATGCACCCTTCGAAACCTGAAGGGAACGGCCTATATCCCCATCTAGGGGGGTAAATCGGCCAGTGGGGCCCAGGCAACGCCGCTGGGGATGTGGATCGGTTAAACGATACTCAGTTCGTCAGGATGCCCATTGAAGCCCCAGTTGGAGGTCTCGATCGAGTCTCAGAAGCAAAGGCTCGCCACCCTCAGGGAAAGAGGGCTTGCATGTCGAAGGCTGGCCTCTCGGGGTTCGATGTGCCAGGAGGTCTGTGAAGGGCAAGTCTGTCAAGGGATGCAGTGGCGTCGCGTTTCGGGAAAGCAGTTTGGAATACGTGAAATATGAGCGTCATGTTCTTGCCGAGTTCTCTTGGAAAATTCCTCCGGAGGAGGGTGGGAGGATGATGTCAGGGTGCGATAGGAGATGATGTTAGGGTGCGATGGGACCGATTCGGTTCGATTCGATTCGAGTGCGATCGATTGCGGTTACGATTCGATTCGGGTGCGTTTTCCGATTTGGATTTCGGATTATCAATGTAGGCCTCATTAATTTGCCGATTTCCGCAGATTCGACTTCTCTCGACTCGGCTGCCGATTCCCGCCGATACAATTCATTCCGATCGCCGATCCGACATCGATTCGAATCGGGGCGCTCTTGGGGGAGGTAGATTTCTTTGAAGGATTAGTGCGTGCATCATGTTGGCCGGACAGCACAATGAAGTGTTAGGGTGTGTCTTCTTGCAACCAGCCTTCAATTTGAAATTTGAGATTGTGCAGGGGGATAGCTAGGCGGGCTGGGTGGTAGGGAGAGATGGGGAACCCCTAACGCTAATCGCACGATGAAGACGTAGCCTCACTGAGGTCCCCGTCTTTGAATCAGGGATAGTAGATCTAGGCGGTCTGGTTCGATACATCTGCAGACGAGACGCCCTATGTTGTTGGCCCTCCTAACTTAGGTCCCCTCCCACAGGGTTAGGGGTCCTTTTACTGCCAATCAGGAAGGGAGGGAGAAGCGGGCGACGAAGCCCCCTCCTCTTCCCAGGAGGAGGAGGAGAAGGAGGAGGAGGAGGAGGAGGAGGAGGAGGGGGGGGAGGAGAAGGAGGAGGAGGAGGAGGACGACGAGGAAGAGGAGGAGGAGGAGGAGGACGACGATGAGCCCCCCCAGAGCGGGACGCAACCCATACACCCGACACAGATCCTGGACCGCGGCGGCCTTGGCAAGGAGCGGTGCCTTTATGTCGTCGGGTCGGGGACCGGGAGCGGGATCGAGTCTCGAGGATCTATGTTTTTTATGGGGCAACCCGCAGTCGCGGATAAGAGGCAGGAGGCGGCGAGGAAGTCGGCAGTCTGCGAGGCTCTGGGCAGGCGCCTAATTTTGTACAATTTATGCGACGAGCTCGCCGCAGGTGCCGATTTTTTCGTTAAAGCAAGGTGGGTGGGTCGCGGGTGGATCGCGGGCTGGTCGCTGTTGGGTCGCCGATGGGTCGCGGGCGCGTGTGTGTGTGAATGTGTGTGTGTGTGAGTGTGTGTATGTGTGTGTGTGTGTGTGTGTGTCCGTTTAGGCATGGTCTTCGCCAGCGCAGATTCTTTGCCTAGCCGCCGACGCAAAAGTGTGTGTGTGTGTGTTTGTGTGTGTGTGGTCGCCCTCTTCAGGCCCCGGGTGGATTGCCTTCGAAGCTCTGGCCAGAGAGCTCCTCTGGAGAGGCCTTGGGGTTCATGTCCGAGGAGGGGTATGCTGTCGCTTTGCTCGCCTCTGTGAGGCTGGGGTTGTGGCCCAGACCGCGATCAAGCGGGGACTTCGAAGACGGCCTCGCTTCGGCCAGGTCCTCTCGCGAGCGCTGCGCGGGCGATGGGCGCCGGCACCCGCGCGTCCGCCAGACGGTTGCGGTCCCGAGGGTGAGAATTCATGGGCATCCCGCTGCGCTATAGGACTTAATGCAGAAGGGTGACTCATGGTGGCCTCACGCGGGTTCGGGGATGTGCTGTCGATTTCGTGAGGAGGAAGTTGGTGAGCACATCGAAAGCACAGGGGGCCCGATGCGTGCCCGCAGGTTTTTGCGATCGCAGCCCTCGCTGTTACGAGCGCGTGTGTACGTGCGGAAATGGTCCGGGAAGGACCGGAAGAGGCCGCTCCCAGACGGCGCATCGGCAGACAATAGTCTGATCTAAACGGCCCTGGAATTCATGCGTCAATCATTTCGAATTTAATGCAAGCGCGCAGGGACACAGCCGCTGCATATTGCAATAGGCGGCGTTGGGAATGACGCCAGCACGGTATCATGCAAGAGAACGGGGAGAGGGGAGGGGGGGAGGTAGGCAGGAAGAGAGGGAGAGGGAATGGGCCAAATAACAATATGCACACATATTGGCAATAGCGTTTTGAAGCTGGTTCCCGTATGACATTCCAGTATCCAAGAGGCTGACGCCATTCCGCCGACCGCCAGAAGAGGCGTGGAGTCCACGGTTGAGGCGTCGTGGACTTCTTGGGCGCTCTGTGGGGATTTTTTGTGGGCGTCTGGGGTTTTTTGGGGGGGGCCTGGCGGAGCTTTTCTTGCAGGCAGGTTTAAAGCGTCTTCAGGGCCACCTTGGGGGCTCTTTTGGGCATCTTGGGGGCTTCTTGGGGCTTCTGGGAAGCCTCTTTGAGGCCGCTGGGGAGCTTATTGGGGACTTTCGGGGGCCTCTTGTGGCAGAAAGATAGGATGTTCGGACTCTTCGCCTCTCTTGGGGCCTTCTTTGGGCGATCTTTGGCCGTCTTGGACCCCTCTTTGTTCCGTCTTGGAACTCTATTGGCCCGTCCTGGCGCCCTCGTATGGGTCTGTTGGGCAGTTTGGGGGCGGTCTACGGGGCATCTTGGGCTGTCTTGGAGCGTCTGGAGCTCGAGAAGACGATAGCCTCAGAAACCGTGAAACGCCAATGGGGAGCAATTTATGTTTGCATCTCGAAGGCCTCTTGGGGCGTCTTGGAGTCATCGTTGGCGTCTTGGGCCAGTCGTTCCGCGATTCGGGACCGCCTCGCAACGTTTTCGAGGCCACGGAAAACAGATTTGGAAGCTCTGGAGTCCTCGGTGGTGCGCCGAGGAGCCCAGATCCTCCCCCCCCCCCCCTCCCTCTCCCCCTCTCTGGATTCTGGGGGGAGGGGGAACGGGGGGGGGATACCGTTAGCGGCTTGAATAAGGAACGCTTACTTTCCAAACGGGGCTCGGTCGTTCCTTTGGCTTGCATGCGCTATGTTTCGTTCATTATGCGTTATGTATTATGTATCGTTCCCTACGCGTTATTCCTTGAAAAAAAGGGGCTTCGTTCCTTATTTATCGTTCCTTAGGTCAGGCCGATGACTGGAATCAATCATCTCACACGCCTTCTCACCACCAGCGAGCGGGGGTCGGCCAATTGGAGGCCAAGTTGGAAGTGCGGACACCACGCGCACACACAAGCCGCGGCACAGCGCAGCGTCAGTTACGATGTATCGTCGCCCTCGGATCCACGATTCCATGCACACAAATGATTCGACAAGGACGGGTCCATACGGTCTACGGGATGTATTGTGTGTTCGCAGGTGTTTTCTTGTCTCATGGGCTGATGTGCCGCATCCCTGATGATGAGATGCGTGCATGGTTGTTATCGGCAGTATCCAAGGATTTTACAATTTTCCGTACGCGTCCTTAGTACTTCGGAGTTGAGCCCACAGGGAACGGGGAGGTGGAGCGAGCTGGTGGCAACCCTTACGCGCTCGGGTCGATGGACTCGCTGCAGGAAGCGCGCGACCGCGCCCAGTTTCCGGCCAGAAGGTAGCGAGTCCAGAGAGGGGCGTAGACGACGACCAGGAAGTGAGGTCAGGGTACATGGCGAGGGCCAAGGCACAAGCGGACGTGATCAGCAGCATCTGTTCGGCCAGGTTGGTGTTGGATTAAAATTAGGATAACTCGTGGGGAAAGTTGGCCGGTGAGTAGTGAGCGCGGACTTATTTGAAGTAACATTTTTCTGCACATCCTGTAAGCACTGCACCTAAGGGACGTAAGGTTTGGGCCCTCCTCTGCCCGCGCGATCCCAGTAGAGGTCTTCCGTGCTGCGCCTCGTCATCTTTGTACTTGTTATGTTTCTCCTGCTCCCGATTCATGCAGCCAAGATGCAGAGGTAAGGCCCACGTTGGGCTCCGGAGGGGCTCTGGTTCTCGTGCCGTTTCTCAGGTCTGGGTTGGTAAGTTTGTTCGTAGCTGCGTCTCGCAATGCCATAGTAGCCCCTTCATTCCTAATACATCGCTCCTTGTGACTGCACGACGACTGTATACACCTTCTGCGGTGCTGGCGTGCCCCCACCATCGACTTGAACTCCCCTCGATCCAGCCTCCCGCATCGAGCTGGACGGCCTCCGAGAACGCCTCTCAGCTGAAGTTGAACGTCGTCCCACACTAGCGCCTGTCGCATCGAGCTGAACGTCTCCGGCACCACGCCTTCCGCAGCGCGCTGTGCAGCCCTCCCACCCCTGGCGCCCCCCACAATCATCGAGTGGACCGCATGGACAGGAGGTTGCGGGCCCGCTTCGAGGAGGAGGAGGAGAAGAAGGAGGAGGAGGAGGATGAGGAGGAGGAGGACGAGGAGGGGGAGGGGGGGGGGAGAAGGAGGAGGAGGAGGCGGAGGAGGAGATCGGGGCGAGGAGGTCTGGCGCAACTCGCGGGCGGCCGTGTGGTCCTGGGGGTGGCTCGGCCCAGGTCCATGCCCACCGTCCCTTACCCCTTTGATGTTGGCCTTTCCTCCTCCTCAATCTCCTCCTCCTCTTTCTCCTCCTCCTCCTCCTCCTCCTCCTCACCCTCACCCTCCTCATCCTCCTCCTCCTCCTTCACCTCCTCCCGGGTGTTCGTCGCGGTGGTGGACCTGTGGGGACGCCCTGTCCTCAACGTACGTGCTCAGCCTGGTGCACGCTGGATGCCGTGAGTTCCAACAGAGCGTGTTGTGAAGTGCCTGGGGTCCCGGGGTCCGGCCCGGCAGGTGGAGCTGCGAATTGTTTGGAAATTGCGTCCCCCCACGTACCCGCCAGACAAGTTGCGCTGTGAAGTGCGTGAAAACCACGATCCCAACGTACGTCCTCAGGGTAAACACGGCACCCCATGGAACTCAACACGCTGTATTGTTCAGTGCCTACGGACCTGGGGTACATCTCGGCAAGCTGCACTGTGATTGCGCGCCCGCCCTGAGGGTGCGTCCCATTTCACCCCACGGAAGGGGCAGTCGCTCACGCTTGCGTGTTGGAGGGTTGGGGCGAGCGAATGCATTGCAAACAAACGATTGCATATTAAAGCCAATTGTTTTTGCAATTAAAGGCTTGTTGTATCAATGTTGTGTGTTGGTTGCCCATGTTGGATAACACGGCAACCCCATCACTCCCATCTGTGCTTGAGGTGTATCGCCGCAATGATTAGGCACCGTTGTTGCGATGTCTGTCCTGAGACAGGAGGGGAGGAAATATGAGGAGGATATGTCTTGGGAGGGGTAGGTCGCATGTCTTTCCTTGTCTCTTCGTTCACATCTCATCGAGTGCTGGTGTCAAGGTGCTGGTGATGAGCGCTTCCCCCCCACTGTCGCCACAAGCTTGCTTTTCAGGTCCGAGTAATGTCAATCATTGGGAGGGGTAGGGGTCAAGGATGGAGGGATTAGCAAGAGAAAGAACCGAAAGGGACATAACACTTGCTATCTTATAGGGGCTCCACTGGTAAAACCAGTTTACGGACACGCGACGAGTTCTGCGGCTACGCATGCTTGAAAGCGTGTGTGTGTGCGTGTGTGTGTGTGTGTTTGTGTGTTTGTGTGTGTGTGTCTGTGCTGACCTGCGCAAGCAGCTTGTGCACATCATGGCCACACGTAAATATGTATGTGCGCATGGTGTAAGTAGGCATATCGGACTCTGGACTCACGCAGACAAGTGAGTATATGCACCTGTGCTGCAATTTCGCCCCGGATGACTTCGCCCATTCGGTGAATGTACAGCTTCTTAATCATAGCTTTTGTCATCTCGCGTTTATGTTCTGTGTGTTTCTTATCCGCTTGCGCGGAACGAGTTTATTTCGCGCGCGTGTGCGGGCGATACCTCAAGTATATTGTCCTGGGAGCGCTAGGCGTGGGGCGACTCAGCCTTTCATGTTGCAGCCTGGAAGTGAGCGTAGCTCCCCGATTCTGCATATCTTTCCGCCCCCAGGCTATCACGTTGGCAGAGTTGATTCGCAGAGAAATCGGCCTGGCGCTCAAGCGAACCCAATGTTTCAGACTGCAGCATGTGGTTCAGCGGATCGGCGGGCGTGATGATGACAGGTCAAGGTATGACGAGGCAGGCCACGGCGTGCGTGTGTGTGTGTGTGTGTGTGTGTGTGAGTGTTGGGGTGGAGGTTGAGGGCACGCATCACATTTATCATGATGCACATGATCTGTAGCATTCACAGGCGTACTTCTCATCTTCTTCTTTGGATGCTGCCCCGGCAGCGTGGAGCAAGACGGCGTGGTCAAGTCACGGCAAGTCTCAATGTCTTGAGCGTCGTGTTGGCGAGGTTGCATTCCTTATTGGTTGCAGGTTTGCACGCATGCATGCACGCGCGGCTGGATGGGGATGTTCCTGGGCGCCGCACGTTGGGGCCCCACTTGGGGCTCATGCCTGGCAGCCAGACACGGCGAACCACACTCGGAGGCCTCGAGCGGGGACCCCTCGCGGTGGGCGCACGCCACGGTGTGCCTGCCCCGCCTCCTCCTCGCTGCTCTCGGGCGCTGGGCGGCTCCCTTGGCGCACGGGGCGCGTCGGATGCAAGCGCGGGGCTCACTCCGATTCCTCGGATTCAATTCGTTTCGATGCTGATCGATTCCGATTCGATCTGACTTCGGGTTCCGATTCATAGTTCGGCTTCTGTACAGAGGTCAGATTAGCCTTGCGATGTTAGCCGATTCGATTTCTCCCGACTTGGCTGCCGATCGTTCCGACGATCCGAATTACCCCCACCCGCCTGCTCCGCCTCTTCGATGCCTCCCCTCATTCTTGTCGCAGCTGCGGGGCGGGGGTGCAAACGGAGGTGCGAGTTAGTGGCTGCACTCCCTCGCAGGACAGGCCCTCGGAACAACTATCGGACGGGGCCAGGACGAGGATATACTCTTTCCAGGGCGTTCCGGAACGCTCTGAGAAGGCCGCGGCGCCCGAGGCATCCTCCAGAGCCGCGGGATCTCAGAGATTCCCGCTTTCTTATCACCCGGGTTTATTCTCGTCTTGGTTCCGTTTTATGAGTGGCTGCATTCCCTCGCAGGACAAGCCCTCGGAGCAACGAGCGATGCGAGTACAAGCGGGCAGCAGACGCTGCCTTGTCGCCCCCCAGGGGCGACGCGCGCACCGAGAAATCCTATAGTACGAGCTCCGTGGTGGGCGTTGTTGGCCGTACCGCTCGGGAGACGACGTACTAGAAGATGGATGTACTATATGATCGGGTCGGACGCACGCCTCCAAGGAGGACGCACAGTACTAGTGCGTCATTCTGCGTCCCATGACTTATTGTTTGAAGTATGCTGCTCTTCTCCCGGCGATTCCCAATCATCCGGTGTGCCAGCTTGCAGTTTGAGCGTAGTCATCCAGCGGCTTCTCAGGTCTCCAGATGCCAGTATCCAGCGTGCTCAATTGCGCTGATGTCGTGCAGTTGGCGCAGCGAGCTGAAGAAGCGTCACAAGTACTGGACAAGGTCTCGTCCGCATGCTAAGTTTGCTTGTTGTGCACTTAGATGCATCGGTTGACAGCTAGATCTTTGCGAGTGGCATCACGATGTCCTCGAATGCATCGGGCGGCGAACGCCTGCTCATGTTTGTCTCGTGTGGGTGTATGTGCTGTTGTGGTAGACCTGGGCAGGAGAAGTTCCGTCGCATGTGAATGTAGGGGGACAGCGTTTCTTTGCGCACGTGGGGAGCGTGGTTTGCAATGCGTGAGCAATATCGTTTCTCATTGAGTCTGCCGTCCCTGTAATTCGGTACGTGCCGAGGGATTCAGAGCTTTAATAGGGATGACATAGATTAGCCTTTTGTGACCTGAGACGCCGTCATTTGATTTGCATCGCGCCATTTCTTGTGTTTCCCTGAGCTTCACATGACCTGGACAGGGCATCAACGGCGCCACCTCCACAAGAGCAAGACCAAGACTAGGACCGTATGTTTGTTTACGTCCTTGCAGTTGGCACATCATAAACCTTCCCACTGAGAGAATGCATTGAAGAGGTTTGGGCTTCGCAGAGCGCGTCTAATGTAGAGCATGTCTCTCAGTGCTCGCGAGACATTCCCGTGTCATGACATCGCTGTATGAAATGGATACACGATGGACGACCCATCTTTCTTTAGGATAATGTTTACAGTGACTCCGCCCTTGGATCCTTACGGGCACTCTGGAGTTGAACGCTGGAAAAGGCAGCATCGGTATTGCATAGCGAGCGTTTGGAGTCAGCTTGCTCTGTTGCGTGTCTCTGCGCGTGCCAGGAGAAGCCGACAGCGTGGCCCAGCCGGACTCCCAGGCCCCGCGGGCGCCTGTGCCCTTGCAGTTTGCAGCGTCTGCGTGCCAGCGCCAGGCACGGTCGCGAGCACACCCTTCGAGGGGGGCGTTTTCTTTCGAGGCGGAGTTTCAAGCCTACTTGGGCAGTGACGCATGTTGAGGAAGCCTTGATCGACATGGGGCGCATGATGCAACAACATATCTAACACGCCTCGGAAATCGCGACCACCTGGACACGCCTGAGTGGTGCCGCGCGAAGATGCGACCGTGCGATACGTACCTATAGGAGCCCCCCCCTTCGGGTGATAAGTAGGACGGGGGTGGGTGGGTGGGTGCAGCATTCGGTTTGCGATTGACGTCGGATCGGTTTCTCGATCTGTCATTGTAGCGATCATGGCATCCCCATCTTAAGAGAAAACGCTTTCTGTGGACGCTGGGAAGGGGAGGGTTCGAACGGGAAGGAGGCCTGAAATGCAAGGGGGGTTGGAACCAGCCCCCCCCCCCCCAAGGGGGGGAGATTCGAACCAGGGGGGCGGGGGTCCTTTTTTGAATTGCAGGGGAGGGGTGTTCGAACAGGGGGGGTGGCCACCCCCCTCCCTCCCCAGTGGCAACCGACGAGGGCAAGCGCCGGCGCTGGCGTTGGCGCCGTCGGGAAGCGACGACGACGGTCGAGCTTTTGGTAGATTGCTGTTTAGGCAGGATCGATCCCTTCTAAGACTACATGAGAGCTGCATCGAGCCCTCGTATATTGCAAATAGAACTGGACCTAGCTATAATAGGATCATGTTTGAGATGGATCAAGCTTTAATAGGATGCCATTCGATCTGGATCCAGCTGTAGTAGGTCTGCATTAGAGTTGGACCGAGCCCGACTAGGATGCTATTAAAGTTTGGTCCATCTGTAGTAGGTTTCCATTAGAGCTGGATCGAACCCTAGTAGGATTCAAGTGGAGCTGAATCCAGCTACGGTATGATTTTTTTTTAGCTGGGTCAAACCCGACTGGGATGCTCTCAGAGTTAGACCAAGCGAATACCGGATTCCTACAAGGGTTAGATCGAGCACCAGTATGCTTCTATTAGCGGGGGGGGCGGTTCGACCCCCGCCCCCATAGTACAGGGGGGGGGCCCAGTTCGAACCACGGGGAAGACCTGGTTTTTTGGGCGCCTCAAATGTTTGAGGGGGGCGGTTCCGACGTGACCGTTTTTCGTTTCTCCCACCGTCTTAGTGGGGTTATCGTTTTCTGCCCACCCGCGTCGCACCCGCGAAGCTCACACACCTCCCCACCTTCTTCCCCTCCTATTCCTTTCTCCCCTTACCCACGCGCAACACTTGCACGGCGCGTTCATGAGATCTAAATGCAGCCGCACGCATGCACACTCTCGCACATACACACCATAGACACGGCCGCACACACACACACACACACACACACACACACACACACACACACACACACACACACACACACACACACACAGCACACACACAGCACACACACAGCACACACAACACACACACACACATCAGACACTTACACACTACCACACCACACAACACATACACCGACACGGACACAAGGTACGGCAGGCGTGGCACTTTCTCGGCACCAGAGGGGGGGCGCAGGGGGTGCGGTCTCTATGCGTTGCAGGCTTACAGGGCACGGCAGGCGTGGCATTTTCTTGACACCAGAGGGGGTGTTCCTCACATGCTTAGTGGGGTTCTTGCTCCCCACATGTTTCGTGGGGTTTGGGTATTCTTCCCTGCCGCGTCGTGCCCGCGTCTCCCAGAACACACCTCCCTCCCTCCTCCCTCTCCTCCTCCTCTTCCTTCCTCCCCTCACCCACGCGCGACACATGAGACACGTCCAGATACAGCCTGAGGCAGATCTTACACGTAAACATGGCACACCGAGGCAGACCCAGTCACTCGCGTGCATTCACAGCGCGGTCTCTATACGCTCCAGGCTCGCAGGGCAGGCGTGGTTCTTTCTCGACACCAGAGAGGGGGCGCAGGGGGTGGTCCTTGAGTGCGGTCTTCTCTATACGTTCCAGGCTCTCAGGACATGGCAGGCGTGGAATTTTCTCGACACCATAAGGGGCCGCGCAGGAGGTGGTCCTTCACCGCGGTCACTATACAACCCAGTCGTCCAGGCACAGCAGGCGTGGCAGTTTCTCTGGTCCCATAAGGGGTGGGCAGGGGGTGGTTCCTCACCGCGATCTCTATGCGCCCCAGTCGTCCAGGCAAAGCAGGCGTGGCACTTCCTTCACACCCCAGCGGGTGCGCAGGGAGTGGTCCCCCAGCGAGCCCGCTATGCGCCCGAGTCGCCCAGGCACAGCAGGCGTTGCACATTCTCGACGCCAGAGGGGGTGCGCAGGGGGTGGTCCCTGAGCGCGGTCTCTATACGCTCCAGGCTCACAGGACACGGCAGGCGTGGCACTTTCTCGACAACATAACGGGGCGCGCAGGAGGTGGTCCTTTACCGCGGTCCCTATACAACCCAGTCGTCCAGGCACAGCAGGCGTGGCAGTTTCTCGACACCATGAGGGGGTGCGCAGGCGGTGGTCCCTCACCGCGGTCCCTATACAACCCAGTCGTCCATGCACAGCAGGCGTGGAGAGACGTCAAAGAGGGCGCCACGATGGCCCAAGAGCGCTCTCCGAGAGAGCTCAAGACCGCTCAAGAGCGTTTCAAAATTGGTCCAACATGGTTTGAAGACAGCCCAAGGGAGCTTCAAGACGGTCAAGATGCTCTGAACGGAATCCCCACGAGGCACTCAGGAGGCGAAACAATATGTTTTTGTTGACAGTTTCGTGGGTTTTTCGTGCTCTCGCTGTTTCGTGCTCCCGACGGTCCAAGGCAGCCCACGAGGCACCAGAAATCAGCTCACGACGGCCCAAGAGGCACCCGCAGACGGCGTCACGTCGGCGCAAAGAGTCCCACGAGTGCCCCAGGACGGCCCAAGAGGCGCCCAAGATCGCCCCAAGAGGGTCCCAGGACGGCCCAAAGAGGGTCCCAAGAGGGGGAACACGAACCGACAATTCGAGCCTTCCGCCCCAAGAGGCCTCCAGGAGGCCCCGAGAGGCCCTCAACAGAGCCCAAGAGGCCCCTTAGGTGCCCCCTAGAGGCCCCACGAGGCCCGACAGGGGCCCAAAATGACGCCCCACGAGCACCCCGAATGGCGCCCAAGAGGCCTCCAAGACTGCCTTCAAGAGGCCCCCGGAAAGCCGCCCACGAGTTCCAAACGAATTTCCAAGAGGCCTCTAACCCACAACCCAGGCACAGTGGCGGGATGGGCCGAAGGCCACCATTGGGAACGTGAACCGAGAACCCGAGATCTTCGCCCCAGGAGACCCCCAGGAGGGGACGAGAGGTCCCCAAGAAGGTTTGCGACAGATCACCGGTCGACAGGTCGATGAGTGCGGAGGAGGAGGAATGAGGAAGAGGCAGGAGGAAGCAGAGAAGGATGACCTCATTATTCATGATTGCCTTGTTGTCTCAATGCGGTAAGCACTCGACCAGCTAGAACCGCGCGCGAAGCGCGCGCGACGTTTCTAGTTTGCACGTTTATACATACACATATGCATACATACATACATGTTTATACATATATAAATTATAAATTATTACAGATATGTGTGTGGATATCTCTCTATATACCTATACGACCACCCTTCGGGTGATAAGGAGGTGAGAGGGGGGAAGGGACCAACGTCGAACTCGATCGATCTTACTATCGAACTCACTACCGATCTCACAATCGATCTCAATCAATCGATCTCACAATCGTTCTGACTATCGATCTCACAATCGATCTCACAATCGATCTCACATTCGGTCTCGCTATTGATCTCACAATCGATCTCACAATCGATCTCACAATCGATCTCACATTCGATCTGACTATCGATCTAACTATCGAGCTCACTTTGGATCTCATTATCGATCGTACATTCGGTCTCACTACCGATCTCACCATCGATATCACAACCGATATCACAATCGATCTCACATTCGGTCTCACCATCGATCTCACTATCGAACTCACTATCGATCTCATTATCAATCTCAATCGATCGATCTCACAATCGATCTGACGATCGATCTCACAATCGATCTCACAATAGATCCCACTATCGATCTCACATTCGGTCTCACTGTCGATCTCACTATCGATATCACAATCGATCTCACAATCGATCTCCCATTCGGTCTCACAATCGATCTCACTACCAATACCACTCTCGATCTCACAATCGATCTCACAATCGATCTGACATTTGGTCTCACGCTCGATCTCACAATCGATATCACTATCGATCTCACTATCGATCTCACATTCGACCTCACTGTCGATCTCACTATCGATCATCAAAATAAAACACCAACATCATCATCACCATCATCATCCCCATCATCATCAACATCATCATCATCATCATCATCATCATCATCATCATCATCATCATCGGCGGGTCACCGACGGGACACCGACAGGACACCGGCGGGACACCGCGTGCCCCCGGCCGCCCGGAAGGGAGTCATTTGGTCCGGCCGCGCCTCAGCCACACGGGACACCAGCGGGACTTTGGCGGGACACCGCGGGCCCCCGGCCGCCCGGAAGGGAGTCATTTGGTCCGGCCGCGCCTCAGCCACAGGAGACTTTCTCTCGCCCGCCCACGCAGCTTCGCCTCGCCCGCACGCACGGCACGCACGAACACGAAACCGAAATCGATTTCCCGGTAGGGGGGCTCTCCGTTCCACTTCGATCTCACCCCCTCACCTCCGATATACACACTGGCGATTACCTCTTTAAGTTTAAGAAGCAATCCGTTTTGATAATAGAGAATTGGAGCATGGTGTACTGGGTTTGATTTACATGTTGCATTGCATAGAGTTATGAGTGGAGGGTATGCAGCACAGCTTACGTATCACATCGTATCCGTGTAGAGTAAAGATGACTTTGTTATTGCTCATCTTGCTCTTGCTCTCTTCCCCTCGCCCATTATCTCATCTCCCTCCCCTCCATCCCCTTCTCCTCCCGCTCTCCTCGCCTGTCCCCCCTCCCTCCTAATCCGCCTCACCATCACGTCCCCCCAGCCCGCAGGGTGCGTACCGCGTGTTTGCCCTGGCGTTTCCGCGGCACCCAGTTGATTGGTGCGCCGCCAGAAGTTTCCATTATTGTATTGAGGACATGTTGCAGGGTGGTAGGAGGTGATTGTAGTCGGGTGGACGTTGCGTTTTGAATTGATTGTGCAGGTCAGCGTCGGTTGGTGGTTTGATTCTTGATGCTTCGATTGAGATGGATTTGAGTGATGACCATGCCGTATTTGCGATCAGTGGTTCTTTGTAGCGGTTGGTGAGCAAATTGCCAAAACATGAACGCGGGAATGCATGATGAAGCGGCATTCCAGGGGCATGCTGTTTCAAGATCGTCAGTCTTGCTGAGGGAACAGGGGCGATGTATGTCAGTGGAGTGTCTTGATCTAAGCAAGCGTCAGTGCCAATATGTTGCTTGGTAGTCTTGACGTAAGTTTTCCTTTGACGCGTGTGGAGAGAGGCGCCGGGCGGTGACCAGACCATCTTGTAATACCTAAATCGTTGATCCCGCAGATGGCCTTCGGCACATCCCGCCACCGTGCCTTGATTATGGGTATGAAGCCGATCGGATGTTCTTTGGGATCTCGTGGGTGGACTCTCGGGGGCCTCTTCGAGGCAGTTTTGAACCCTCTCGGGAGCGGTTTGGGGCGCCTCTTGGAGCCTCTTTTGGGCCTTTGGGGGGCCTCTTGGGGCCTCTTGGGCGCTTTTGGAGGCCTCCTTGGAGCCTCTTGGAGCCTCTTGGCTCGGATTTTCGGTTCGTGTTCCCTCTCTTTTGCCCCCTTTGGGGGCCGTCTTGAGGCCCTCTTGAGCCGCCTTGGGCGCCTCTTGAGCCTCAAGACCCTCTTGGGTCGTGTTTGGGCCCTCTTGGAGGCCTCTTGGGCCGTGTTGGTGCGATCTTGGGGGCCCCGTGGCTGTTTTGGAGCGTCGGGAAGCCGAAAAGGCGAGAAAGCCCCAAACCTTAAAAAACCAAAGGAACGTCAATGGTTCTTGCCTCTAGGGGCCCTCGTGGGAGGCCTTGGAGGCCTCTTGGCGCATCTTGGAGGCCTCTTGGGCCGCCTAGGGGCCATTTTGCGCATCTTGGAGCGATCGTTCGCCGACTCGGGGCCCTCTTGGACCCTTTTCGGGGCCTCTGGGGCCCTCTGGGCCCGTCTTGAAGTCTGCCCGGACCCGAAAAAGTCACGCCCCACCACTTCCCAAAGCCTAGGGGGCACGCAGGAAGCCCCAAGAGTCTTCGGAAGACTCCTCTGGACTGAGGACTGAGGCTCCAGGGACTTGGCAAAGGACCTGAGGACACGCCTACTCCGTACCCAGCGGCACGGTGGCTGATGTTCTAACATCGTTGGGCAGTTCTGTAGTGTATTCTTGCCATGCCCGTGGCCAGGTGCGTCCGGTATTCAGGCCCAGGCCATCTCGATGTGAACGCGTTGCAGCGAGCTCTTGACCGACTCGTAGCTCGACATTCTGCGCTTCGCACGGTGCGCGCACGTAGACAGCTTGTATCATATCGGTTGCCCCCGTGTCTGCGTTCGTTCACCCATTGCTTCTCGCCATGTCTGTCACCCCCTCTCCCCGCCTCTATCCTTCCTCGCTCTCTTTTGTTCTCTCTCTCTCTACCTCTATTCCTCTCTGCTTATCTCTCTCCCTCTCTCTCTGCCGCTCTCTTTCTCTTTCTCTGTTCTATCCACGTGTATGTACGATTGCACATGTATGTATGTCTGTAGGTATGCATGTATATGTGTATATACGTGTATAGTATAGACCTGTATGTCTGCATGTATGTATGGATGGATGGATGTATGTATGGATGGATGGATGTGTGTATGTATGTACGTGTGTACGTACGTACGCATGTATGTATGTATGTATGTATGTATGTATGTATGTATGTATGTATGTATGTATGTATGTATGTATGTAGGTGTGTGTATGTTTGTATGTATGTATATATGTATGTATGTATGTAGGTATGTATGTGTATGTATGTATGTATGTATGTATGTATGCATGTATGCATGCATGCATGCATGCATGCATGTATGTATGTATGTATGTATGTATGTATGTATGTATGTGTGTGTATGTATGTATGTGTGTGTATGTATGCATGTATGTATGTATATATGCATGCATGCATGCATGCATGTATGTATGTATGTATGTATGTATGTATGTGTGTATGTATGTATGTGTGTATGTATGTATGTATGTATGTATGCATGCATGCATGCATGTATGCATGTATGTATGTATGTATGTATGTATACAGTTATATACGTACACTCATATATCCACACTCACATCTATCTATCTCTCTCTCTCTCTCTATATATATATATATCATGGGGGACGAGGCCCCCTGGCCGCGCCCATGCACCTCCCCTGGGAATGAGGGGACCGGGCCTCTGGGCACGCCACCAGACGGCCCAAGACAGCCCCCAAAACAGAGCACCAGGGTTCCCAGAGGCCCCCAAACGCTCCAAGAGTGCCGAGAATCGCCGAAATCCCGCTCCAAGATGCCCACGATGGTTTCCGGACGGCCCGAGGAATCTCCAACACGCCCCAAGCGCTTCAAAGAGGCCTCCCAAGAGGGCCCCAAGAGGCAAAAGGCAGTGATGATCCTAAGGTTTTTGCTTGATCTCAGCGTTTCTACATTTTCTACATTTTCAGCTTCCCGACGCCCCATCACGGTCCTAGACGCCCCAAGTATCGCGCCAGCACGGCCTCCAAGCGGCCGCCGAGACGGCCGAAAAAGGCGCTTTATATGCGTCCCGGGCTTCTGGGGACGGCACAAGGCAATCCCGAAAACACGACGCCAGGTCTCCAAGGGGCTCCAAAACGCCCCTTGAGGGCAGAAAATCGCTGAAATCCCGCTCCAAGACGTCCAGGATGGCTTCCAGACGGCCCAAGGAAACAACACGCCCCAAGAAGCTTCCAAGAGGCCTTCCAAGAGGGCCCCAAGAGGCAACATTTAGTTATTATCCTATGACTTTTTCTTCATTTCAGCGTTTTTGTATTTTCAGCTTACAGACGCCCCATCACGGTCCTAGACGCCCAAGCACGGCCTCGGAAGTCTCCAAGCGGGCGCCGAGACAGCCGCGGGGACGCCCCCAGACGGCCCAAAGCAGCCCCCAAAACCGGACGCCAGTGCTCCAAGGGGCTCCAAAACGCCTTTGAGGGCAGAGGATCCACAAAATTCCGCTCCATGACGCGGACGGTAACTTCCAGAAGGCCCAAGAGGCCTCCAAGACACTCCAAGACCCCCCCAAAAGGCCCCCCAAGATGCCCAAGAGGCAACATTTAGTTATTATCTTATGACTTTTCCTTAATTTCAGCGTTTCTGTATTTTCAGCTTACAGACGCGCCATCACGGTCCTAGACGCCCCAAGTATCGCCCAAGCACGGCCTCGGAAGACTCCAAGCGGGCGCCGAGACAGCCGCGGGGACGCCCCCAGACGGCCCAAGACAGCCCCCAAAACAGGACGCCAGTGCTCCAAGGGGCTCCAAAACGCCTTTTGAGGGCAGAGGATCGCCGAAATCCCGCTCCAAGACGCCCACGATGACTTCGAGACGGCCCTAGAGGCTTCTAAGACGCTCCAAGAGGCCCCCCACAGGTCTCTCAAAAGGACCCCAGGAGGCAAATTAATAAATTGTCTTACGATTAGGGAGAGATTTCAGCGTTTCTTTGCGTTTTCGGCTTCACGACGGTCCAACACGGTCCTCGACGCCCCAAGTATCGCCCCAGCACGGCCTCGGAAGCGCCCAAGAGGCCGCCGAGACGGCTAAAAAAGACGCTTGATCGGCATCCGGGGCCTTTGGTGACGCCCCCAGACGGCCCAAGACAGCAACCAAAACAAGACACCAGGGTCCCCACAGGCCCCAAAGCGCACCAAGAGGCCCGAGAATCGCCGAAATCCCGCTCGAAGACGCCCACGATTGTTTCCGGACGGCCCAAGAGGCTCGAAGAGGGATTTCAAGAGGGCCCCAGGAGGCAACATTAATTGATTATCTTGAGGTGCTTGGTGGATTTCAGCGTTTCTTCATTGTCGGCTTCACGACGCTCCAACACGGTCCTAGACGTTCCAAATATCGCACCAGCACGGCCCAAGCGGCCGCCGAGGCGGCCGAAAAAGGCGCTTTAGATGCGTCCCAGGCGTAGGGGGACGCCCCCAGACGGCCCAAGACAGCTCCCAAAACAGGACGCCAGTGCTCCAAGGGGCCCCAAAACGCTCCTCGAGGGCAGAGAATCCACAAAATTCCGCTCCATGACGCGGACGGTAACTTCCAGAAGGCCCAAGAGGCCTCCAAGACACTCCAAGACGCCCCCAAAAGGCCCCCCAAGATGCCCAAGAGGCACAACTGATGGATGATCTTTCCAGTTTTGAAACATGTGGGAGTTCTTGCCTTTTCGGTTTGGAGGCGCTGCGAGACGGCCGAGGAAGCCGCAAGTATCGCCCTAAACGGCCTCAAAGGCCCCCAAGCGGGCGCCGCATGCCCGCGCATGCCTTCGGAGCTGTCTGGTATCCTTGAAAGGAGCCTCCAGTGCTTCGTGGCCTTCGCAGAGTTTCCTGGGGCTTGCCAGGGATTCCCAACGCTTCCTGCGGCCACGAGGGGATCCGGTGCCACACATGCTGCGAGAGCTCGCGCGCTCGACCCGCCCACTGCTGACGCGGGCGGTTCTTCGCCCGCGGATCGCGTCCATGTGTTTCATCCTCTGTCGTCGTCTGCCCTGCTACAACCTCGTTCCCGCCCGCTTGCTCGGTTCGGCTGGAGGAGCAGAAGGAGGACGGGGGAGGAGGAGGTGAGGAGGGGAATCGGACGGATGGGGGAGGGGAGTAGAAGGAGGGGAGAGGGCATGGAGGAGAACGAGGAGGAGCAGGCGCTCGCAACTCGCATCTCGGACGGCGTGCTGGCGACGAGCATCCAATCCAGGTGGGATGAGAAGGAGGTCGTGGAAAAGGAGGCATGTTCCGCGTGGGATATCCTCATAACCCAAGGTTCCGTGACGTTTTGATACATAGGCTTACGCCACGCCGCCGACCCTTTGGAGGACTGGCAGTTGTTGCGTATTGCTCCTGAGGGCGTCTTGTGCGCTTTTGGGGGGGTTCTTGAAGTTCGTTTGGGGTTTCATGGGGGCATATTGGGGGCCTTATCGGGGCCTCGGGATGACATTCTCCGTATTCGCCGTGCACGCACGGGGGAACGGGCGAGAACCCACGTGTACAGACGGCAGGCATCTGTCAAAACACCCGAACGAGTATCGAAGGGCCTTCGGCACATCCTGCCACAGTGCTTGGGTTGTAGGTCTGAGGCCACTCGGATGGCTGATGGGGTCTCGTGGGAGGCGCCTTCGGGGGCGACTTGGAGGTAGTTGTTGATTGTTTCGGGGGCCTCCTGGAGGCCTCTTGGGGGTTTTGGGCGGCCATGTTGGGGTTCCCTGGTGGCCTGTTGAAGGGTAGCCCGGAGGCGTCTTGGGGTGGAAAATTCGAAATATCCGCTCGGATTCCCCCTCTGGCCCCCCTCTTGGGGCTGTCTTGGGTTGTCTTGGGGCCCTCGTGGGCTGTCTTGTAGCCCTCTTGGGGCGATCTCTTGGGCCGTCCGGGACATTGTGAACGCCCAAGAGGCGAATGTGCTAAACATGCAATTTTTTCAAAAAGTGAGATGATTTGTATTTCAGCAGGCCATCTCGGGACGCCTTTTTGGGGGTTTCTTGGAGCGTATTGGGGGCCTCCTGGGCCGTCTGGAGGCTAGCGTGGGCGTTTTCGATTGATTTTTCAGCGATTCTTGGCCCTCGTGGACCGCCCCAAGGGCCTCTTGGGGCCCTCTTGGCTTGTTTTCGAGCCCTCTGCCCCCCTGGGGTTAGTTCAGCCAGATCCAAATCGACCGGACCAGGCTCCACGGGGACGGGCTTGGGGAGGGGAACATATCACACGCCGATGAACCCAAAGGGGTCGGCGGATTTGCAGTGATTTGCCCCAAATCGCCAGGGGCATCCCCACAACTCTTGGTTCCAACATGCGATTCTCGAACCGCTCTGTCCCACCTTGCGTAAGGCATCCTCGGAACCCTGGGTTCCGAGATGCCTTGGCTTGAGGTACTCCGGCCCGTTTCGCTTGGGGCATCCCCAGAGTTCTGTATTCCAAGATGCGTTTCTCGAAGTGCTCTAGCCTTAAGTCGTGCCTGTCCCCATACAGGAGGAATGCTCAAACATAGTCACAAAACATCGGGACGGTTTTTCCACAATTGTTGGCCATGTGTGAAAACAAAGAACAACACTCTGCCCAAGTCTTCGTCCAAAAAAAACCGCCTTTAGGGGGACATGCCCGACCTAACCGTAGCCATTTTGACTCAAGGGGCTCTCCTGCGGGATGCCTCGCTCGCCCCTGCCGAGCCGGGCCCAGGTGCGCTGCCGCGGATGCCTGCCGCGGCGGGGCGCGGCTCCTCTGCGCCTGTGCGGCATGAGGGGCGCGAGGTTGCGCTCGCGACCCACGTCGGGCGGCGGCCGATCAGCGCGCGGCCCGGGCGCACAGCCCAGATTCGGGGAAACGTAAGACTCGAGTGAGGCAGAACTCGGGTGTGCCGGCGTTTTTTGGCGAGCGCGTGCGTCCTGGATTTTGACGGGCTGGTTTCCGTGGGATGTTTGTTGCAGCGGGAGATCGCGTCAAATTTCGGATTGGGTCTCGTCATTCTCATGGTGTCCCCGTCAGGCTAACCCGAGTTCCCCGTATACACGAGTCTCACGTCTCCACGACAGATCAAAGGAAACACACACGCCATAAACATAAATTTTTGGCCCTCCGCGCGGATTTCTTGGATCTGCGCTGGGCCCCCCCTGGCGGCGCCTCTGGCGCCGCCCCCTGGTGCGCTCCGCGCGCCAGGGAGGGGGGGGGGTCCAGCGCAGATCCAAGAAGTCCGCGGAGCGCCAAAAGTTGATGTTCATGGCGTTTTTGTTTTCTGCCAGATGGCGGATCACGAGGCCGCCCCTGGAGGCACCGCCTGCTGGCGGCATGCCGGCGGTCCCTCGACCCCTGTCAGGGGGCCCAGTAGCGACGACTGGCGGGCGGCGTCGGCGGGGGCCACGTGCCTTGCCGGAGGAGCAGTGGCGGCCGCAGAGGTGGGCGCGGCGGGGCCGTCCCGCGAGCGCGAGGGCCTCCGAGGCCCGCCACGGGGCCCGCGGCCCAAGAGCGTCCCTCCGAGGGCGCCGACGGCGCGGCATAGGCCGAGGCTCGAGGCGTCCTCGGCAGACGTGCCCCTCAGCGCCGAGGGCGGCTGCACGGCGGTGACCCTCAGCACGGTCGCCTCTCGGCGGCGACGATAGGGGCGAATAGCCTATGGGTGGGCATCAGTTACACGTATTCGCCCAGGAGCCTTTTCGAAGACATAGATCATCGGCGCATTTGAATACATGTATTGCTCTGCCCTGGGCTATTCGCCCCTATCGTCGCCTCTGAGCCTCCCACAGCTCCCCGAGCCTGGGCGGCAGCTCCGCCTCCGCCCGCAGCAGCCTCTCCGCCGTGGAGCTCGGGTCCCTGCGCGCCGGCGTGCGGGGCGTGCCGTGGAGCAGCTTCAGGTTCGGCCCCCGCATCAGGCCCTACGCCAGGCTCATTCACCGAGCCCGTGACGCAGGGCTGCTCTCTTGCTTCCTGGAGCTGGCGAAGGTGGTGGACGTGTCCGGTGAGTCCGTGAAGTTGTTGCTGCGCATGCTGCGTTTCCTGCGCTCGTGCCACTATTCCGAGGACGACATCTGTCTCATCATCGCGCACGCTAGCATTTATTTCCCGGACACGTACGCTGCCGCGGGTCATTGTATGAGCTTGATCGAGAAGGGGAACGTGTTGGCGACCCTCGTCTTCCTGGCGCACTGCTGGGTCCAAGACGAGACTTGCCCTCTTCAGGTTTGGCACGAGCACCTGTTCAAGCAGTATTGCAGCCTGGAGACGCTCAACTCGGCCGTTCTGCGGCTCATGGAGCTGCGCGGCTACATTCTGAGGGTGAGCAGCAAGGAGGTGGAGCACCGTATGCAGATGCTCCTGGCCGCCAGTGAGATCGCGGCTCCAGGCTGCACGCCAGAGCCGCGCGTGCTGCCGGCGCGCTCGGGCTACTTCGGTGCCCGCGTGTCGGGCGGGCCCGCCTTCCTGCAGAAGGGACTGGAGACTATCCTCGACACCTGCGTGTCGCGGTCGAGGGCGGACAGCGAGTGACGAGCGCAGCCTCCTCCATCCGCCCCCTCTCGGCCCCTGCTTCTCGGCGTTCCTGCAGCGAGGCCTGGAGACGGTTCCAGACATTTTGCGTGCCATGATCGCTGTCGCACAGTGAGTTGCGATCGCCGCCTCCTCCACCCCTTCCCCTTTTTTATCCTGATGCTTGCATACCGTCCTCGACGCCCGTGGATCGAGACCCAGAGTAACTGAAACTCATGCGTGGGGGCCCGACCTTGTCTCGCGCGGAAGCGTGCGCAGTGGAGTCGGCAAAGCGAAGTTTAATCGCTGCCGCTGCTGCAGAATCTAACAATGGCCTCGCCCTCGCCGTACTTGTACAGGCCTGTTTTGGCGGGAGACCCTGGCGCGTCCTCTCTTTGCGCGTAGATCCCGCGCGAGGGGCAGCGACATGGCCGCAACCCGTCTACTGCTTGTTGCCGCCACTCTTGCTCGTCTGACTCGTCCGCGTCCTTTTCCCATCATCCTGCCCGCGCGCCGCACACACACAGAGCAACTTGGCAGCTTCACGGACGGTGGCACCACTTCCTAGCTGGACTGTGGGCGCAGTGCGCGCAAGCCGTCGCTGAATGCAACCGCGAGCCGCCAATAGTTGGATGTGCTGTGCACCGAGCCTGCAGGGCTGCCACCTGAGGCGCAGTCGGGGCACTCGGCAGCTGACCCGCAGTGGCAATTTGTTTGAGGCCGTTTGGCCACATGGGCGCCACCTCCTCCTCCTCCTCGATGCCTCCTCCTCCTCCTCCTCCTCCTCCTCCTCCTCCTCCTCCTCACTGAATCTGAAGGAAATGTGAGTTGTACTCGGACCAGCTTGCCCGAGCACGCGGCTGGCACTGGTGCTGCCCCTCCTCCGACTGCAGCCTGCGCCACTGCCGATCGAGATCTCCGCGCCGATGCTCGAAAAGCTCCAGCCCGTCGCGGGCGAGGCACCTTCCGGAGCTCGGGGCTCCGAGGCGTCGGGGCCCAGGACATCCCGCACCGACCTCCTGGGGGGACGCGCGGGGCCGACCGCCACACCGTTGCAGCACGACCGCTTACTCCTGGGTAGGCCACCGGGCGAGATGAGCGGGACGTGCCAGAATGCCGGGGTTGGCCAGGCCGGGAGCGGTCGGGGCCTAAGGGACGGGGGTCCATGCAAACGGGGGTCAGCCAGGGCTCCGGGATCCTGCAGAATCCTGCGAAGACCCCCTTTGGCTGACCCTGGTTGGCGAGCCGCTCGTGGCCGCGAGGCGGCCGCGCATACTGGCTGACCAGGGTTTGCAAAGATTTGAGTTGCTTTTTTTTCTGCATTGCAGTTTTCTGGTTTTCTGCTGACCCGAGTTTGGATTGACCCGGGTCAGAAGATCCCCGAAGCGGCTCCGATTCGCCCACTGCCCCGATCACGCCTTGCGCAGGCGCGCGCAGCGCTTGCCCTGCCCGCGTTCGCCGCCAGGAACGGCACGTTGGAGCAGTGGTCCAGCCAGTATCGCCTGAGATCCGCGCACCTCTGACTTTGGAAATGTCTCTGCTGAGGTGGTCTGGCCAATGTCGCCTAGTCATCCGCGCACCTCTGACCTCGGAGATGCCCTGCCCCGTGGTGGTCAAGTTGCTTTCGCCTTCGACATCCTCGCAACTCTGACCTCGGTAATGCCCTGAGCTGAGATGGTCAGGCCACTTTGACCTGAGACATCAACATAACCTCTGACCTCGGAGATGCCCTGCCCCGTGGTGGTCCAGCTACGTTCGCCTGAGACGTCCTCGCAATTCTGACCTGGGTAATGCCCTGAGCTCAGGTGGTCAGGCCACTTTCGCCTGAGACATCCTCGCAACTCTGACCTCGGAGATGCCCTGTCTCATGTTGCTCGGCCTCTCATCCTTGAGACATCCTCACATCTTGGGTTCCGAGATTCCCTGAGCTCGGGTGGTCAGGCCACTTTCGCTTGAGACATCCACGCAACTCCGGGTTCCGAGATTCCCTGAGCTTTTGTGGTCAGGCCATTTTCGCCTAAGACATCCTCGCACCTCTGGCCTCCGAAATGCCTGTGCTGAGGTGGTCAGGCCACTTCCCATTGAGACATCCTCGCAACTCTGACCTCGGAGATGCCCTGTCTCATGTTGGTCCAGCCACTGTTGCCCTAGACATCCTCGCAACTCTGGGTTACGAGGTGCCCTGAGCTCAGGTCCTCAGGCCTTTTTGGTTTGAGACATCCTCGCAACTCTGGCCTGGTTGGAGCAGTGGTCCAGCCAGTATCGCCTGAGATCCGCGCACCTCTGACTTTGGAAATGTCTGTGCTGAGGTGGTCTGGCCAATGTCGCCTAGTCATCCGCGCACCTCTGACCTCGGAGATGCCCTGCCCCGTGGTGGTCAGGCCACTTTTGCCTGAGACGTCGTCGCAACTCTGACTTCGGAAATGCCCTGAGCTGAGGTGGTCATGCCAATTTCGCCCCAGGCATTCTCGCAACTCTGACTTCGGAGATGCCCTGCCCCATGGTGGTCCTGCCACTTTCGCCCCAGACATCCTCGCAACACTAGGTTCCGAGGGGCCCCGAGCTGAGGTGGTCAGGCCACTTCGGCCTGAGTCATCTTCGAAACTCTGGCATCGGAAATGCCCTGATGGGGGGTGAGGGCAGGGGTGTGGGAGGAGGGGGGAAGTTTTCTTAGAAACACACCTGCTCCTTAGAAGGCGCCTTCTAAGAAACGACCTCCTTCTATGCAGCCTTCCCCCCTCCCCCTGCCCCTACCCCCCTGTGCGCGCCGCCAACCTGAGCTGAGGTTGCCAGGCCACTTTCGCCAGAGACATCCTCGCGTGATGCATTATCCGAGCGCTGGCCACATCCCTTTGTTCGATTGGTGCTGTCGCCTGCTACGTATTTATGCGGGTATGGTGTTGCCGCTTGAACGCCAGCCACAATCGCGTCTTTCGTTGTCCTTGTTCCTTACCACATTCCCCTCTCATGTGTATTTATCCCTCCCCATGTGTTCCTCTGTCTCCCATCAGAACATTCGACTCTGCGTTATGTGCGGGCATATGCATTTCTACATTCGGATTTTGTCCAGACTGCGCATCTGACTATGCATCGGACTCTGTGGCATTTGCGCACGCGTACGGCCAGGCTGTTGAGACTTGTGCAGGGCTTGATTGGCATGTGCACGCGACTGTGCGGCATGTGAGTGCATGTGCGGCCCCTTGCGGACCTCAGAGCGGAAGCCAGCACTACACAAATAAACACTATAGAAATGAGTCCAGTGTAGATATGTATGGATTGTGCCTTTATATATATGTGTGTGTGTATACATATATATATATATATGTATGTGTGTGTTCTAGTCGCAGATGAGGCACGGGTGCCGCTGTAAGCATTGCGGTGGTCACAATGACGGTTTCCAGCGTTCTCGGGCCCATGCCATCGACGCATCGACACCAGGGGTGGGAGGGGGAACGCATCTTGTGAAATGACAGGGTATAACGATGCCCCGCTCGCTCTGGCGGGGCCTGTCTGGCGCTCTGGCGGGGCCGTCCCAGGAGAGGAGGGAGGAGCACGAACGCTGAGGGGTGAGGGGAGGAAGAGGAGAGAGGAGGGAATGGAGGCCAGGGGAGGGGGCGGGAGGGAAGGAGGGACGGAGGGGGGAGGCTCGGGCCATCTGGGCCGTCTTGGAGCGCTCTGGGGCCTCCCGCTCGCGCTCTGTGGCCCAGCTTGGGCCCGTCCTAGGGTTCTCTTGGGCCGTCTGGGACTCCTCCTGCATTATTTTCGGGCTCCCTGGGGCCGTCTTGTGGCTCTTTTGGGTGCCTCTTCGGCGGTCTCGGGGCGGTCTTGGGAGCGTCTGCGGCCGTCTTCGAGCATTGGAAGCTCGAGAACGCGAGAAAGCGTAAAACATCGAACAAACCAATGCAAGTCAATGAGTTGGGCCTCATTGGGCTCTCTCGGGACGTTTCTTGGAGCTCTTTTGGGCCTTCGTGGGCCACGTTGGAATCATCTCGGCCGTCCTGGAGCGCACTGGGGCCTCCCGCTCCCGCTCTGTGGCCCATCTTGTGCCTCTCCTGGGGTTATCTTGGGCAGTCGTGGGCTGCTCTTGGGCAGTCTTAAGGCTCTCCAGGGCCGTCTTGTGGCTCTTTTTGGGGCCTCTTCGGCGGTCTTGGGGCGATCTTCGGGGCGTCTTCGGCCGTCTTGGAGCGTTGGAAGCTCGAGAACGCGAGAAAACGTACAACATTTGAAACAACTACCGGAAATCAAAGGCATGGCCCTCTTCGGGCTCTCTCGGGACGCCTCTAGGACCTCTCTTGGGGCCTCTTGGAGGGCTCTTGGGCTGTGTATTGGCCGTGTCGGGACCATCTGGGGCCACGTTGGGGCCATCAGGGCCGTCTTGGAGCGCCCGCTCCCGCTGGGGTCCAGCTTGGGCCTATTCTTGGACGTTCTTGGGCTGTCTGAGGCTCGTCCCGAGCAACTTTCGGGTTCCCTGGGGCCGTCTTGGAGCTCTGTTGGGGGCCTCTTCGGCGGTCGAGAGTCTCGGGGCGGTCTTGGGGGCGTCGTCCGCCGTCGTGGAGCGTCGGAAGGTCGAAAGCGCGAGACACCGAGAAGCACAGAAAACAACAATGGAAATCAAGGATCTGGGCCTCTTCGGGCTCTCTCGGGACGCCTCTCGGAGGTCTCTTGAGGCCTCTTGGGGGCCTCTTGGGCCACGTTGGGGCTATCTGGACCGTGTTGGAGGAGCTGGTCGAAGTTCCCGGGAGGCTTTGGGAGCGTCTTGGAGCTCTCGGGCATTGGTGGTCCCCAAACGTGGTGGTGACAACACCTGGCGGTGAGTCTCGGGCGATTTGGTGTCACCACCCGGTTTGGGTACTCGTGCGGTTTTCCGAGGATGTCCCGGACACTGGTGGGTTCAGGAGTCACAAAACCCGGTGGTGACCCCGCGTCCCCAAACCCAGCGGTGACCTTTTGGGGGATTCCAGGTCGCCACCTGGTATCTCACCACCCGGTTTGGGGGTTCCCAAGGGCAGTCTGGGAGCTCC